CCTGGCCTCAACACAAATAACGCCCTTGGGTGACCGAAAACTTTTCAACGTTACAACAATCAAAATTTCCCGACTATGCGTATAGTTTATCGTCGCAGTTAGAGAATCAAACAAAAACGAGTAAATTCGATTTTCATGCTGATAAAAAAATGAAATAATTTCATATAATAATAATGCAAAAACGACGGCGGTCAGAATACAATAAATATACACGCTGCTCCAATGATTCCCAACTTAGGGGAATTCTTCTTTAGGAAGAATATAGATAATACATTGAGGAGTATATAGTGATGAAGAAATAATATAATATTGTTAAAATAATCATGTAATTTTACAATCAGTAAAATTGAAAAAATTAATGTCATTAATATAGAGTCATTTATTTATTCGTATTATTATATTTTACTATATTATACATTATATATTATACTTGTTTCTTTTTATTTAAATTTTTCTCATTCTTCATCTGACTCTTAATGCTCTCTAAAAATTCTCACTACTAACACTAAATCTCCCCATTGATTTCGGTCTCGGGATAATACTCTCCAATCTTGAATACACATTCAGTCAAGGCCTTCTTCCACTACGTCAAACCATATTTTTTTCGGTCGTCCATGGAATTTTTTTTTTTGTTGATTTCCACTCTTAAAGTTTTTTTATTTAAACTTATTTATCATTTTCAATTTTACTGATTGTAAAATGGCATAATTATTTTAACTACAAAATTCTCGTTATTTCATTATCTCTATATTACAGTTTTTTCAAATTACTAAAACAAAACAGAAAAAGTCTTCTAAAATCTCAATCTAAACTTTAATTTAAAGAGGATGGAACGTAAACTTTTTGAAAATTCACTAGAGGGCGGAAAATTAAAAAGGTTTGAAAAAGGTTAAAATATTTCTAGGTCATCATTCGCGCACAATTATGATCATGATCATAATAATAGTTTACAAATGACCAAACTGATATCTTGGTGATACTCCAGTATTATAAAATACCAATAGAATTCCTGCGCGTATGGTTTTTTATAAAATTTCTTTGTATTCGTATAATTACCTCTTTAGTACGTTCAGCCACCGATGAAGTCTCTTCAGTCGCCGTCACTGTTTGCTTCCCGGTGTTGGGTTTCTTTTCAACCGTTTGAACTTCCATTATAATGATTAATATATTATTATAATTATAATTTTTTTTTAATTTTTTTTTCTGTAAAGTTTTGTTTTTTTTTATATATATATATATATATAATGTACAATAAAAAAAAATTGGTTTTAACTATTTTTACAATGGCTCACGACGACTATAAACACCGTGGTAATTCAGTCGTTTTTTTTATAGACACTACGGGCGACGGGTGGCAAGGGTTTTACTTCTTCCACTTCTTCGTCGTCCTCGTCGTCCTCGTAATCGATTTCTATATCGTCGTCCGATAACTCTTCTCCGGAATCACTGTATTCCCTTAAAAAAGCAAACGCCAAAAACAAATAAGTATATACATAACGCAACATTTGTTTCACACGCGCATAACCGAGGCATGATAACTCACGAACCACAATTATACAAATATCTTAGGCCCTTTACGCAATTTTACACAATTGTGTACGATTCAATGACTCGAAGTAGTTTTCCATTCAGATTCGAGTTATCGCGTCACGGCTGTAAATATTGTTATTTCGATGGAATAAAAAATTTTAAAATAGTGACGACTTTGAGGGCAAAACTTGTAATATTAGGTTTTAATATTTATGAAGTAACCGAAATATCGTATATTTTTATTTTTTATTTTTTGTATTATTGAAATTTCAACAACTATTCTTATATTTACTAATATTTTTAATCAGCACAAAATTCATATATTTATTCTACATTAGAACTATAACTCCTATAGTCCTTTTATTTCGAAGCTAGATTTGAGAATGGAATTTATAATGCATTTAATTAAAGTGGAGTTTTTTAAGGAGAGAATTAATGTGAGAAAATTTGGTAGAAGAGAGGAAAATGTATTTTTAAATGTTGACTATTATATGAAAACGCTGGCAGTTGAATAGTAAGCATCGGAAATCATCATATAATAACACCATAATTAATGATTTGGATTGGAGGATGAGGTTGAATTCTTATACTTCTTAACCGATACAATATTATATTTAACGATAGCGAAATATAAATCTGTATTTGTATATTTATACTACAATAAATCAATAGTTAAACTTAAATTAACTATTAAGTTATTTTAAAACCATGTTTTTTCTTAAAATTCGATTTACAAAATGGCTGTTTTGGATTTTTTTTTCAAGGAGTAGAATAAAATTTTAAAATTTAAGTTCTTAATTTAAAAAAAAAAATCTTTTAGTACAATTTTGTTGTAGCGTAGGACCTAAGTATTTATTTAATAAAAAAAACTAATAATAGTTAACGGAAAAAGTTATTCCATTTGTCGGATCATCCTGGGACACCTTGTTCATAGTTATCACTGTGAATCGTTACAGTTTCACTTTATGACGATGGTAATCGTGACGAAGTAGTACATTAAACGGAAAGAGGGATAAAAAAAAGGCTAATTCTCCAGTGCCAATATTGTAAAGGATAAGCTACTAAGCATCGAACAAATTGTTAGTGTACTGAAAGGCTGAATTTTGTCGAAAATGTGGAAACGAAAACGATCCGTCATAACACCATTAGCGGAGGAGTTCGGGAAAAAACGTATTCCGTTTTTTACAACCCATGAACACTGTCTAGGTGTGGAAGACGGGGATTTATCCCCGGGCGTAAAATTGTAGAGAGTGTAATTTTTATCATTATTAATAACTAATTTGATATTTTTAACTTTGTTAAATGCAGTTATTAGGTTAAAACTCAATAAGTATGATTGTATATTGATTATTAGAAAAAAATTCTCGAGAAGAGTATTTGATACGATAAGGCACAATTTTAACATTTTCCCCAGGCTTAAAAATCCCTAGTTCCACCTCTGACACCATCCATATTACGTTGACAACGGGAACGACGGAAAGGGGATGGGTATACGTTTTATGCAACTACCCCAAAACAGCACGGTTATGTAATGTACCCGTGACGAACGGTAAGTCGTCAGGGACGTGCGTTACGAATAGGTATTTTCGAGAACGCACGCACGCAGCAGGGTAAATAATATCCAGTCGTTTTTTGTTTTACGTAAAACAATAATATGTATGTATATATAATAATATGTAAACGATACAATGCAATACGTCAAAACCGTTATCCCAGTCGAGTTACGTAACGTTTTACGTATTTTGGTAATAATAATAGCCGTACTACGTGTGCTTTTTACCGCAGGAGTTATGTGCGCACAATGCGTTACGTTCAATCGACGACGACAGGGTTCGCAGTAATAGCAGCAGCAGCAACAACAGCAGCAACAACAGCAGCAGCAGCAGCAGTCTAGTAATATCATACATAATAGCGGTGTAGTTAAGAATACCCATAACATACGTTTCGATTTAATGTCGTATACACATGTAATGCACTCGGCACGAATGTGTACACCGTTTGTATTGTAATTCGCATATATTTTTAGTAGTAAGCTCTTGGTAATTTTGCAGTTCGTTGACGCTAAAATGTGTTACTTTAGCCAAATAATAATAATTCAAACAACGACTGCCGACCTCGTTTTATTAGCGCGCACACATGAAAACAGCAAAATGCACACACAAATAAATCACGTACAATAATTATTAACGAGCACGTGTGTAAGTAGTACCGCTTGTACCGGAGTATAATACAATATACATAATATGCGCATTAGTTAATTGTTTTTCGTCCTTTTCCCTCGATAATCGGATAGCTATATAACAAATATTTATTAACGTTGGAATTTGTAACAATTGGCCACGTTCTTCTGTGATTATAACACATTGAACGACCGACCGAATCGCAAGTCGGATACTGCAGTGCGTCGTATGGTAATATAATACGTCGTAATTGGTAATTCGTTTGATTAAAAAAATAATACATGATACATCTCCGTATATATCCGCCAGTTCGTTGCCCTAACATATCCGAGCCGGTCGCTGAATTAAAAATCAAATTGGTCGTAAAACGGACCAGCTGTAAAGACGTATTCCTTCAACCGATTGTAATAACGACGACGGCACATTGTAAAAATACGTTATAATACAACAATGTAATACCCCTGGCTATTTATTAAAATTTCCAAACATGACTGAACTCGTGATTTGTTACACATACTATACATACGATTACAACTCGTGAACACAATGAAATGATAAATAGATATGCAATTACTCAAAAATCAATCAAAAACAATTTAATAGCAATTTTATAATAATTCCTCAATTGTTTCTCCTTTTTTTTTTACACGAATAATTCATAAAATTTTTCAACAACACAAAATAATATATATTGTATTAATATCAAATGCATTATTATTTTAATTATATAAATAGGATAAAGTATATTATTATAGAATTGACAATTTTTTAATTGTGAATATACCACAGTTGTAATACGCGTATAGCAGTTAAAAAAAATTAAATTAAAAATAATAGCAGTAATACGCTACTACGGCTATTATATATATACGTAGGTCAACAACTACAATTTAAAATGCAGCGATGGTGTTAGGCAACGCGGCCAAAGCCTCGACGACTTACAGTTGTTGATCTTGAATAGACGTCTCCGGGTGGTGCGTACCGTTACTATGTCTCTGCTCTCCCAGAAGGAACGAATCAATCGTAGTATCTACGCACCCCGCGATTTTCGAAAGGTCACCATCGTTTTCGTTCCCTTCACCTTTTTCCAAACCTACAAACTTCGAGATCGTCTCCGTCGCGGGTCCCTGGTGTTGTACCTTGTCAGCCGGCTGATCTTTGATCACCGCGGGAAGTTTAAAGTCGTCAATTTTGTTCGGATGCGCTGCCGCAGCCACCACCTCTTTCAGCTGTTCGGCAGAGCCACCTTTAACCTCGTCTTCGAATTTCACATGCGCCGTTTTCTTCACGTCGTCCTTGGGATGGTTGGCGGTGGCAGCCACGTCGTCTTTCCCTGACACCACAGTTTTAGGTGCCGCTTCTTTTTCCGTCGTCTTTACGACGTCCTCCTTCTTTCCCGGCACTACTTTCAGCGCTTCTTTTTCTACGATTTCGAACTCCTGGTTCGCGTCTTTAGCTGGTTTTTTTACAGGAGTTTCTCGTTCTATGATTTCGAACTCAAGTTTTGCTGATTTCGCCACGTCATTCGCCGTTGACGCAGCTTTCGGATCTTCTTTTTCTACGATTTCAAATTCTGGCTTCGATACGGGCATTTCCTCTTTTTTCACCACTACGTCGCTACTTTCTTTTGTTTTAGTCTCGTAGACATCATCTTTCGGGTTTTCCTTATCTTTAATTTTTATATCGTCTACCTTTAGCGGCTCGGGTATTTTCAAACTAGGAGCATTTGGTTTGGAGGGCACATCATTTGTTATAATTTTTACATCAGGTTTTTTAGGTACTACCTCTTTCACATCTTCATCATCTACATCTTCTTCGTCTTCTCCTTCCTCTTCATCTTCGTCCTCTTCGTCGTCAAAACTTTCTTCAATATCATCATCGTTATCTTTTTCGTTTAAAACATTATTATCTGCCTCCGTATACGGAACTGTATCTGCCGATTCTACCGGTTGGTCCTTAGTGCTGTCTTGTATTGAATCAGTAGAACCCTGAAAATCAAATCAAAAATTTAGTCAATATTCTGTTTATTTAATTATTTTAATCAACTATTTTCTAATGAGCGAGTTTTAACTTATTGGCAATGTTATACTACTTGGACGAATAGAGTACATGTGCCAAATATCTCAAATAAGCTTTTATTGAATACAGTAAATTATAAACATTATTCTTAACTTTGACAATAAATTTGAAAACTCACTTAAAACTTCATTGGACCAATGCCCAAATTTAATTTACATTTTGTTTTACAAGGTAATCGTTTTTATAAGTATATTTGTAATCAAACTATAAATACCTTTAGGAACAAGACATAATGATGGTAGTGAAAATCATAATTTCATTTTTGTATAAAGTACTTGTACAAATTAGAATACATAGATATATGCTATGTATATTAAAACCAACTCAAATAAACAATGTTAAAGTTTAAGATACACAAAATAAAATAGTCAGAGTAGTTTAAATATGGTATTTAATTGTTATATTTTCCTTGAATAAAAAGCCTGAAGGAAAGAGTTAATTTACCACTATAAAATAATGTATAAATAATAAGTAGGTGTTTTAAATTCATACATCTGTAACATGTATAACGTGTACTACAATGAAACTTTGTTCGAAAACCAAAACAAAAATAAACCAATAACTATCATAGTTATTACAAAATTGAATCTACTAATAACTACACGTATCCATGATCATTAAAATATTCAAAACATTGGATTGTGTTTTTGATCATTAAGAGATACAAATGTTGCGCACGAAAAATAAAAAATAAAATCGTTGGTTTTAATAGTTACATTTTACTATTGAATAATAATCGATATAATAACACGATAGCAATCAAATTTATAAAACTTATTAAATTGGACGTAAATAAATCAAATGAAAATGTAAATTTAATTGAACGACGAAATAAAACAACATAGTTTTTAACAGTGATGGGAATTATTCGACCATTCGAATATCAGTATTCGATGCTACAATACAATACGTAACGAAAATTATTCGTTTAAATTTTCACGCAACATAAAACGTTTAATAATAATTGGTATTGTAGCATCGAATACTGATATTCGAATGTTCAAATATACAAATATTAGTATATTCAAATTATTTACGGTGGACCTATTCGATGTCAAATATCCGAATATTCGAATAATTCGATTCTTCGAATATACATTACATCTCTAGTTTTTAACGATTTACTTATAAAGAACGAGTGAGACATAATGATGGATAAATGATATTGTTGTATAAATAAGCTAAACTTGAAACCAAAGTGACATAGCTCTCGAAAAAACGATTCTGAGAAAGAGGATGAATCAGTTTAATTTCTTTAAATGGTTGATATAGTAGTATAACTAAATTTCTTAATAAGGTAGGTTTAACTTTTAATCGAAAATTACAATTTCCTATAAAAATTTCTTTAAGATATTTTAAAAATATCAAATGTTTATAAAATGTTAATATTAGTACTCAACAAATGTTTCGAGTCACTACAATTTATATTTATAAAATAACTAATAAATAACTAATATAGTGTCATTGATATCATCAAAATTGAATTTTCTAACTCTTTCAAAGCTTTCTAGTGACTTTTCGGTAAAAAAAAATTAGTTTGGGCTATAAAGAAAATCTTATAATATATCTTGTATCTAATTTTCAAATTTATCAAATATTAAAATCGAAAGTTTCACGCATTTTTCCGTATTTTTTGTTTTTAATTTTCATGAATTTTTTGCAATTATTAAAAGCTATTAGGAATTTCATAAAATTATCCCCCATTCCAAAAAAAAAAAAAAAAAAACATAATTCTCTGTAAGAAATCTCTCATAATAGTGATAATCAGAACAATCCTTCTGGTAGAAATCAAGTAAACAAATATAAAAAATATACACGACACCATGGTAAGCCTATATCTTTGTCGTCTCTCTAAGAATCAAACAATATACAATTATTAATGAATAATTTATAAATACTGTACATAGACGAGTTGACTTCAAAAACATAATGTACAAAACGTGGGATCAGAACATGACGGAAAAATATTACAACCATTCAACTATACGCCCGCGAATATTTTTGTACGACCAACGCAATCATATGCGATATTGTTGGACATATTATTTCTACACAAATCCGATATAATCACAACAATATACATATATATACACTGATCAATACAGCTATATTGTAAACGAATTCGTAATAATAGTAGTATAACAATATATATAATATTAGAATATACGTAGGCCGGAAATGAAATACGGAAACGTTTCATGTGTTAGCGTAAGAGACAAGAGAACAGTCAGAGGCACTGTAAAACAAAACGTCCACGAACGCATCTATATACATCCATACGATGTACTCGCGTTTAAGTACGTGCATGTGTGTGCACATGTGTGACTAGGTGTCTGCCAAGGCTGCGTCGCCTCACAATATATTTTTAATTTTACCGTACTCAAAATGTTGTACCCATTTATACGCATTGTCATAGCCGGACGAATAGAAGGGAAGGCAAAATGCTTTGATAACAACCACGTCTTCGACTGTAATCACTCTTAAAATCTCAAGATTCAGATCAACACAAGAACCACGGAATTTTGTAATGATATTTGTTATGTATACTAAATTATTTTTAGACATTTCATTCATTATGTTTTATAGAAACGCGTCAATACTGTTCGAATTTACAATCGTTGAAAAAATAATTTTTAGAAATTTTCAATCATTATTGGAGCAAGCGGTGTGAAACAAAATCTGTCAATCGAACGCGAGTTATTGATTGATTTTCAAACGAAATATAAATTTAAAAAAAACTATTATATTAAATAACCAAAGATAAGCTATGCAAAATTAGATAACCGTACTGAAATAATATTGTACATCGGCTATACGTCGCAGCTGATGTGGCAATCGGACATTACTAGACGTTCCTGTGAGTCGTGCATGTGGTCAAATTAAAAATAGAATGTAACATATGTCATATACGTTTTCAAACGAGACTTTAGTTTTCGAGAAAGAAAATGTATTCGTCGTGATTATCATTTGGAATATATTTGGGCTTACGATTATTTGAGGAACGTTTCCGACTTGTACGACGACTCGGCGCATACCACGCGTACCTATACATTATGAATGTGTACGACGAAAATAAGAAAACGTAGGCGACGGGCACGCACGTTTATTTTCCCTCTCTTTCGTTCTTCAAGAAGAATCATTTTTCAAATACCGCCACGGTAATTACGCGTACCTCTCACGTCCGGTCTCCTTAAAATGAATATATAACTAAGCGTTATTCATTTATTTTTTATAATTTTTTTAACGTGTTGTTTCATATTTTCGACATACGACACCTACCTACCATATTGCAAACTATATCACGACAAGATGTTCCAGCCGAATCAGTATGTAATTACGAAACATAAGCGAAGCCCGTGCTGGATCACCAAATAAGCAAAACCGTCACGTGTCTTGGGGTTAAATTTTGGAAATGTAAAAGATTTGAACTGCAAATAAATGAGTAAAAATTACTCTTTTATAAAAAAATTTAATTACGTCAATGTAGCTCATAAAATTGTGGTAATAATAATATTTAATATATTTCAACAGCGATATTTAGAGGAAGTAATATATATTAATTTAGCCACATATTAAAAACTGGAAAATAAAAATGTAAGCAATATTTTATGCACCATGTTTTACTGTTTCTCGTAGATTTATAAGAATTATACATAAATATCCTAAATATTATGATTTTATTATTGCATTTTTAATATACTTTTATTCAAATAGTCAAATTGGAAAAAAAATTGTTTTTATTCAAGAGTATAATGGATACTATAGTGAATATTTGTATGAAGGCTTTATTTATTTTACTAAGATTTTTATTGCTTACTATAGGAAAATATATTACAGAATATGACCAACGATATATTTATTTGAGTAATAAGGCTTCATAACACATTTTTATTTTTAAAAAAATCTGCTATTATTCGATAAATGTTACAATAAAACATTTTTTTCAAGACTTAAGAAAATATTAAATAGGTATGAGACTAATATTTAGTTTGATCTGGCGTCACGTATTACAAGATATTATTAGACAAGGACCCAGCTATCACCGAGGATCAATAATAAACATTGTGAATTTAAGAAAAACAGTAATCCGCAAAATCCGATAAACCTATTTTATATTATACAGTTATTTATATAAAACCCACACACACATAAACATATAATTCTACACACGTTATACTCTTTTGAAATGCGTCAAAGCGAACAATATTACAGCAAACTTTAAACTACACAGCTTGTACACCGTATTTTATCACATATAAAAATGATCACGCGATTATCGCGTTCGTTGGACGCATCTGGCAGAAAACGTATAATATAAAAAAGCATAATAGTTTTGGAATGACTACTGTATTTATTAAAAATTATTGCTGTCGAACTGTTTTAACTATTTTAGGTTACAGCGATAAAGCAAACAACGAAATATTTGAAACTAACAGGAGCGCGATTTTATGGTACCCAGGAAAAACGATCCGAAGCGTGTATACACGTACAGAGAAATGTAAATAATGTAAATATAATTATTCAGATTTTTCAAAATTCGTCAACTGCTGACATTTAAATTCGTTACGGTAAGTATAAAAACGGTAATACATATATACTTGGCGATTTATTTACAGATGAACAGTACGAATTCATAGAAAACATTTTTTATATTCTTTTAAATGTGTATCTTTAATAATAATTATTTGTCAAGACAACTCGAACTGCGTTAAATTATTTTTCTAATGTGATAAACAGAAAATCAAATTAAATTAAAATAATATAAAATTAATACGTTTAATGAGTCATTTTTTCTTCCGAGTGATTACACCAGAGCTAAATATCTCTAATTACGTATCACTCATAGTAGATTATCGTAGTTCTCACGCGTGTCGAGTACAAAGTTTATCGGCCAATATTATATAATGTAATATGTAATAAATAAGAATGTGATCGTTATTAGTCCGGCGCGGGGTCGACGTCGTTAAATCATATTATAATCACTACGTTTTATAAATATTACAACAATTACACACAGCACAATATAATTAAGGAATAAATGATATGACTAAGGTAAATCATCGATGTGGACCCTGTACGAATGGTTTCCGTCGAGTTGTGACGGATATGATTATAATACGTGTTACGTAATGATTAAAATCGGTGTTCCGATACGCAAAACGTTCGTTAAAATGGCGGTGGCTAACACAGGGAGGTCGTATATACATGACCGTTGTCGCGTACTTGCTACACACAAAAAAATGTCATGAGGAATCGTTGCTGGGAATGTGAAACACCCAATATTGACAGGAGTGGGTGGGGGAGTGGGCAATTATTATTATACCGTGAAATTGTATTACAGCGATACTTAATCCATCATAGATTGATGGACGCCTATGGGTTAAGTTATAAGGGAAGGGAGGACAAAGTTCATAATATTTTTCCTGAGGAGGACAAGTATACTGTCTTACTACGACCCCTCTCTCACAAATGGGCTCACATGAGATGATATTGGTCACAAAAACGCAAGGGTGCGCGCACGTCCGTCAATCGACCGCGAACCGACAAAGTTGACCTCGACGTTATATTCGCGGCGAACAATCTCGCGAGACGTATATATATTTTTCTCTCTTCCTCTCTCTCTCTCTCTCTCTCTCTCTCTTCAACCGACCGTCGTCGCGAGTATGTACAGTTTTGTACACCAATAATTGCTACTACGGACGACGATGTATGCACACGCGGCGGCCAATGTACGCGGCGATGCGATGAGTCAGACGTGCCGGATTGGTACGCGAGTTCCGAACGAAATCGAAAATAATACGTGACCATAAACACACGACGCGCCACCAACTATTCGTATGCTCGACCAACAATAAGGAAAACATTCGCTGACGAGAATAGGTACACCACACCTGCAAGGGTGCCAAGCCCCCGGATTAGGCACACTTCGATCAGTGTAACTAGTGTGTCCGAATTTCATATTACTGTCGAGTCCTAAAACTTCAAAATTACTCTTGCGCCACTGACCCCTACATGATGCGACTGTGCGCAGTACGCGCTGGTGAAAATAATCCAATTCCGATCATAACATGTAAAACTACGTAATATAAGAACGGTTCGTGTCCTGCGTTTGATAGCAATTTAAATTTCAAACGACCATCGTGATATTGATGATCACGACGATATTGTGTGCGCTACAACCGAACGCTTATCTTATCGATTTTTGAATACTTAAATTTACGAATACCTAATGACTCGTACATTTCGCGTTTGTATTATTCATCACGTCTACGTCCGGTTGTGTAACGCTTCAGAGTTAAGACGACGATGATTGTCAAGCAATATTATTACGTACAACTGAGGAACGTAATTTTTCATGTTAAATGCCCGTGTAAATGTAAATCATAAAGTAACAGTTGCGCGCGTTTTCATACGAACCGAAGCGCGAAAACACCGAGTCGGTATGGGGAAAAAACGGATTATTCAACGCCGTGGCCGATTTATAACGTACGATTCGAAATATTTTCCAAACGAGATGATAAAACGGCAAAAACTTAATATTTTTATTTTCACCGGCCAGCACAATCGTACGCTCTTACCGCCGCCCAACCGTTTATCTGAGCGGGACAAATAATATTTGGAGGGGTTCGAAAAACAGTGTTTGTAGCCAATGTAGAGGTACACGTCATCCATCACATGAGTGCATAACAGCGGTACGACAATAACCGTGAACCTTAAAGCGAGAATATTACAAAAAAGCTATTTTTACTCGATCCGTACACACCGTTGATAATACGTCTCCTAAAATGTCTTCAGTAACCTCGTACAACGCGTAATTTTATGATCTTACTTTTGAGGAGTCCTCCGAACACTACGAAATCTTATTTAAAATTTAAACAGATCAACAATTCAATTCGAATCGATGGATGATAACATCCTTAGCACCGAAACATTTGACACTAAGAAAGTCCTTTACACCTTATACCAAAGATAGAATCTCGCGGACACGAAGACGGGGTCGGGCCGGGATCTGCGAGACGGCTAGAGCGAGACGTTTCGCTGTTTATAAATAGATTCGATAGAAGACGGCTTTGTAAGTCTATACGTGTGGGGACATATACGAAGCGTCCGTTTGCGATGCGAGTGTAAAAAAATAAAGCAATTTATTCGAGCCGACTGTCAATCGTATCAATCGTATGCCGTATCGATCTGCACGTAACATGCACGCGCGCATACGACGAAACCTTGACCTCGGACACACACCGTGACGGCCTCGCGTACAATATCATACGGTGAAACAATTGTGCAGCTGTCGCGTCTGTAAGAACACGAAGGTCTCGTCGCGACTAGCGTCGCAGACGTAGAAAATGTGTGAAAAAAAAAAAAAAAAGTAGTAATAACGACAGAATAAACAATAATAGCAACGGTTAACCAATGCGTAACATATGGCCTTAGACGTCGCCCGCGCTCAGCCGCCGCTGACACCCGTACTCGTTATGCGACGGCACAACGGAGGCCGAAAAAAAGCAATTTGATAACGACGATTACAACGAACCACTATGTAATAATATCGGTACGATAAATCGGGGTCGGCTTACCTGTCCGAAGAAGAAGTTCCACACGATCAGCAGGTACCGCTTGAGCACGTCGACGAACATGATGATTGTTTCGCGAGCGAGTGAACCGGTCGCCCAAAGAAGCCCCGTGCGTGAACAAGACGATCTTCGATGTTCTCCGGTTGTCTGGACGGTGACGGGCGACACGGTAACGTATTGCGGCACGGACGCGGTCGACACAACTGCCGGAGCACGGTAAATGGTAATAACGACAAACGCAGTCGCAACGCACACGGTCTACGAGAGACGGCGCGCGGGACGTGTGGAAAAAAAAACGTACTCGGGCGGCGACACTGCACCGGACGATAGATAAAACGCGCTCCACAATAATAATATCAGACGATTAAACGACGATTGCGGATAACGCGAGCACAACACGCGGACCGCGACTCGACGGTTGTTCGGCACGCGGTGGGGTTATTGGGTGCGACCGCTTGTTTATTTATAGAGCCGTATGTGGATGTCGGTTTGTGCTGTGTTACGATTATTTTATCCTTTCGGTCTAGTCAGTGCGTGTAAGAAATCATATTTTCCTCTCTTCTTTTATTAACGTACACAAACGGAAACACCGACGGCGCGGGCGACGTGTTCGAAACTACAGCAGCACCGGACGAAAATGCACCGGCCCCGCGATGGTCGTCGCGCGTGGCGGGGACTCGTCTAGGCCGAGGGACTGCACGGAAGGAAGGGAAAGAAGCTAAAAAACGTTCCGATGACGTCAAATCTCGGCGGGCCGCTGCTATTAATAAATGACGCGAACGGTCGGCTAATGTGCGCGTGTGTGTATTATTACGCCTCGCACGCTGTGGTTAACACCGGTGCATCGCACGATACCAAAAAGTTTTCTTTTTCCCGCGATATTATCCAGAGGTGGAACTAGGAATTTTTACGCCCAGAGAAAATGTTGAAATCACGCCCTATCATAGACCAATAATCAAATACTCTTCTCGAGAATTTTTTTCTAATAATTAATACACAATCATACTAATTGAGTTTTAACCTAATAACAGTATTTAAAAAAGTTAAATACATCAAATCAGTTGTTAATAATTACAAAAATGACACCCTCTAAAATATTACGCCCGGGGATGAATCCCCGTCTTCAACCCCCTAGTTCCGTCCCAGATATTATCTAATGAATAACACCTATGCGAAATTATTTGTTTATTGATTTTCTATCTTCACTGTCTCGACCCGTCAATCAGTATCTTATTATTATCTGTATCAGCCGCGGATTTTTCATTACAAGTCCATCCCCCGAGTGCTTTGAAGTGGTGCGTCGGTGTTCGGCAACCAAAATACTTTTTCTACTATCCAGTTTCTCGCGATGTAACATCACACCATGGGTGCCATGAGAGAGGCGCAAGGGGGTGCACTCGCACCCCCTGGATTTAAAAAAAAAAGAATAAAATTTAAAACTGTGGGTTTAGACTGTTATTATCAGGGCTCGGCAGTTAAAGCATTTGCTTATTTTTATGAATTGACTTAAAATATAGTAGAGTGCTTTAGAAGTGTATGTCAAGTTATAACAAGTACAATTATGAAATTTGAAAGTGCCTTTTTTTGCTTTTTTCAGCAATTTTTCAAAAAGTGCTTATTTCCAGTTTTTCTGATTATTTTTGCTTCTTGACCAGTTTTTTTTACGTTTTTCTATTTTTCTCCTGCAAAATCGTTTTTGATAGAATTAAAAATAAAAATAATTCTTATCTTATCTACGTTATCACGTAGTTCGTCGCCATCCGAGGCATGATTGTAGGGTTAACAAAGATATGCCAACGTTGAAAATAGAACTGAGTGTCAAATGTCAAAATGATCAAAAACAGAAAGAACAGTTTACATTTTATTTTTCAGTAAATACTCTTAAAAAAACCATAAAATCCTTAAAGTTTTGAAAGTGAAGATTTATTTTTATTTTGTTTGATTTTTTAGTTAGAATTTTATAGTTTTTTTTTTTTTATATATAAATATTTTTGCTCAATTTTAAATTTTTTAAATGCTTATTTCAGTGCTTATAATGATGTTTATAAGCGCTTATTTTAATGATTTTAAGAGCTATAAGTCCCGAAGCCCTGATTATTATCATTAACAGAATTTCTGCATTACATTGTAACCGTGGAAAAAAAACAAAAATAATTTTGTATTATCATAGTAAGTGTAAAACTTATTTAAACATCGAAAAGAAGTCGACGTATTGATGCACCCCCCTGACGAAATTCCTGGCGCCAGCTATGCATCACACATAACACTTTCAAATATGATAACAACGTCGTGCACACGAGGTTCGGTGACAAATATTAAGAATAGATAGAGCTTAACGTACATCGTGATCCGACGCCCTCCCATGTTAAATAACGAAAAAAACGCAAACAAAGGTTTTTACAAAATTTGCTTGTATATTTACTCGTTATTTAACATTTAAACTTCTAAAAAAAAATTTAAATATAGTAAAAATCACACGCACCGCCGGAACTTTTTTATCCTCTGGACCATATTTGGTGATCTCAACAATTTTATATATCTCACGTATGTATACAATTTATATTATTTTATGTAACCACACACGTTATATTATACAAGGAAAATATTTTTTAAAGAGAATGCCACTGGATAAAACTTCGTTTTAAATAGGTTTGTTTTTTAATGGTGAAAGCAAAAAACTGCTCAAGTTATAGAAATATAAAATATTATATAAAAGAGAAGATTACCATGTCATATCTTAAAGGTTTTCTACTTATATTTACTGAAACTATAAATGTACTGTAATGTTGTTGTTGTTTGTGATATTTTCCAAAGGTTCTCACGTGGTCTTAGTAATTTTTCTTTTGTAACCACGTCATAGTATACAGCAGAGGTTCCCAACCAGGGTGCCGTGGCACCATAGGGTACAGCGAGATTAAATTTAGGGTACTGCAAAAATATTTGAAATATATATTTATTTTTAAATGCCTTCGTGAAAAATATAGCACCATGAGTAATAAAACAGACTATAATCTATGTCTATAGTATAAAACCTATTGTGTATAATTAATTAGGTATATATGATAAAATTTAATGAATTAATTATAAACACATATAATTTTTACATAGTAATACTGAGATGTTCAATCTATTTTAATTTTCATACTGGCTCGATTACTATCTACGAGTATTTGATGTGAACTGTTTTAAAGTTATTTACGGTGAAATACTTGTGACTTTATCTTATCTTTATTGTTTATTAATGCTAAATAAAACCGAAGTTACAAAATATAAATTTAAATATACGATATATTAGTATTGCGTGTTCAGTATAAACTATAGAATATAGGGCATAGGCTATAGGGTGCCTCCAAATTTTTATAAAATAATAAAGGGTGTCGTGAGTCAAAAAAGGTTGGGAACTTCTAGTGTACAGAGTGTCACCTATTGAGTGACTTCCCTTTCTCGTCACTCATCATCAAATTAATTTATTATATAACATGTAAATATAGATTGTAAATAAAAAAAAAGAATAACCACGCCGCTAACGATTATTGTTAATAAACTAATTTTTACAATGATTGCTTTCAGCGTCATTAAAATATCATCTAAATCAGCGGTTCCTAAACTTTTACGACCACGGAACCCTTAGGAAATAGTTAGTGTTTCGAAAATCCAAATGTCTCCAACTCCAACCTAACCCCGATTTAAAATTATTTATTGAAAAACCAATACTTCAATAAATGTTTTACCGATGGTTCATGATTATTGTTTATTACAATTACTACTTTCATTACTCACGAACATCTTGCGAAACCATTAAGATTGTCCCTTCGGAACCTTTAGCTTCTGCGGAAAACACGTTAAAAATCGCTGGTCTAAAATACAAAAATACATAATTTTTTATGCACCCGATAAAAATATCTACTCTGATTAAAGTATAAACCAGTGATGGAAATTATTCGAGTGTTCGAATATTAGTATTCGATGCTACAATACAATACGTAACGAAAATTATTCGTTTAAGTTTTCGTGCAACACAAAACGTTTAATAATGATAGGTATTGTAGCTTCGAATACTGATATTTGAATATACATTACATCTCTAATGGAATCGCAATATAAAAACTGAAGGTAAACATAGGCAAAAATAGATTCGTCCAACAGATTACTGGAATTCAATAGATATATAAGATAAGTGAGAAAGATAAGAATATGTCAAATACGTGTAAGTCAATGGAATCAAAAAACTAAGTTTTAACTAAATGATTATTGTATTGTAAGTTATAATTCTAGAGCTAAATTTTTTTATTTGTTTTTCAAATTAAAGGAAAATTCTATAGAATTATTATTTAATATATTTAATATTTATCAATTAATTTTCATGATAATAGTTATAATTTAATTACTATAATTATGATATCGTAGTTAAAAATAACATTTTATTGGTAACCCATGAACAACGATTTTAAACATTTAAGACACATATAAAACTAAAATGTGTGTGCAAATTTTGTAAAGTTCTGTTAAAATCTCCATAAAAGGATGGTTTCAAAATATATAAAACTAAAAATAAATAATAGTGTTGTAAAATTATTGGAAAACTAATATAATTATTCTCTTGAACTCTAAAATATAGAATATACAACAAATATGATTTAATTAAACCTTACTTATAAAATGTAATTTAAAGGATTTTAAATAAACCTATGTTAGTTGTATCACTTGAATAAATTGTGTTGTGTTTTATTTTAATGAACATCGAAAGAATAAAAATAGATGTAAAAAATTATTTGAAATAATTAAGATGACGGATTTAGAAACGCATATATAACTTTAATAAAGATTACATTTAAACAGTTCACGAAAAAATATGTACCTGAATTCGTTTCAACAGCCTAATTCGTAATTAATTAAAATATTATCTATAGCGCTTATCATACGAGTATTTTGAAGTAAGTAGAGAATACACGTAAAGACTGCATTCTGCATAAAAATAATAAGTTTCATAAACCTGTAATTTGAATTTAAAAAAAAACCCAATTATGTCCATGATACATATTATGGATTCATATAAATATTTCCAAATAGCTAATAATATCTACATAATATACTCGATAATTCGATGAATAACGAATTACAATTATATAATATTAAATATTTATTTCTGTCAAATGTAAATAGATAAATATTAATTCAAGTTATCGAATTGAAAAAATGTAACCAACTTAATTCTCTTGTGATTAAAATAATTATTTGTACATATTTAGTGAACATTATTAAAAATGGTAATGTTAGTTAAATTTATTTATGTTTCAAATTCGTGGATAAATAACTTTATTAACGATTTGGATTGAAAACCAAACGCAGGATATGTTTTAGTAATATGTTTCAGAGATCCATATGCAGATATCTCACAGTAAACCGAGCTTTAACATTTAATATTTTTTCAAATTCAATGGTATGTAATTGCTCTTGAGTAAAAAAAAATCTTTGAGAACGATTTTCTGGATAATTTTTTCTTTTTTTTATATATATATATATAATATAATATAAATTATTGGTATATGGTAACATTAAAATATAATTTAGGTATAATATAACATACATTTCTCGAAACCTATTAAAATTAGTTTCTTTAAAATAAAGTAGTTATTCATATAGAACAAATGTAGTTTTA